CGCACTCAAGAAGAACTTTCAGAGCCATTGCCACAACAAGCCATCACGATTCTCGTAGTGTAATGTTTGAAACCCAACCCACCGATGCGTTCATGGTCACTTCAGTCGTGAGGGCCAATATTTATTTGTTGAGGGCCAATATTTATTTGTTGAGGGCCAATAGTCTACTTATTCGTTGAGGGCCAATATTCAGTTGTGCCAACGACTACAATTTTAAATATTAAAAGCTCAAAATTATAAATTTTGAACATCAAAAACTTATAAACGTACGAATTATTTCCATTCTGTTAGCTGTTGCACGTCATGAAGTGACTGCATGCTTGTGAGTCTTGGTTGGTAATTACTGTTTAGTGATTACTGACTGGAGGGGCCAAACAGTAGCAGTAATGGCAGTAATGCAGTAATTACTCAGTAGCAGTAATCAGGTACAGTAATCTATCTATAGCCAATGCCAGTAAAAGTAAAGGAATTACTGTTTACACAGGAATAACTGCAGTAATTTCAGGTACCAGCCTGAACCAGGGCCATGGAGGCCACCACAAACAAGTATTAGGGCAACATGCGTTGCAATCCAGCTGCCCAAATCCAGCCACCTAGCCCTTCTTGGCCCTCTTGGAGGGTGGATTCTGCTTCTCAGCAGTGGTTTTGGGCTGGAATCCACCAGCAATCCACATATCCCAATCTCCATTGGCATCAAGACAGCCAGGGCCTTCAAGGACAACATCGATCCTGGGATCAGGGAACTTCTTTTAGTAGTGATACACGAGGCCATGGAAATGGTTGTCAAGCTCAAACCACTCCTCGGCACCACGGTGACTCCTCTGGAGATCAACATCCCACGCCTTGACATTCCAGCGACTGTTGCCACTCTGTCGTAGCCAAGCCATGTCATCGTTGTCTGTAACATATTTCTTACCAGACCAGATGTCGCCGAAAGGAAGGCTTTCGTACTTGGCCATGAACTTTGTTTCCGCAGGGACGGTCATTTGATCCATGAGTTTAAGTTCCCACTCCTCCGTGTAGGCACGGTAAACTCGGGCCTTGACCTTTGTCGGCCCTCTAACCTCGTGTCCATACGCCGTCAAACCAACCAGATCCAAGTCCTTTTCCTGCATGAAACGGTATTCCATTCCTTTCTTGACCGAACGACGGACTCTGGCTCTTTCCGCGCACGCCGCACCAAACAATGTGCCCAGCATCTCTATCATCTCCGCGCTTAGGTGAGAGCGCTTTCCGGACTTGATGTGTTTGACCGCACCCCACTCACGCTCTGCAATACCAATACCAATGAGGACTGCCGTGCAGATGCAGGCAAATTTGCCAAAGTACTTCGTGTTGGCGAGAGTGTTCTTCCTGTGCCACATGGGAGTGTCGTTGTTGTAGACATCACTTGACCGCCAGACATGTTCGCGATTTGCAAAAATTCCGGTTTGGTCCTGGAAGTCCTGCCACTCTTTCCAGAATGTATCGTAAACCTCCGCTTCCCAATCCATTTCATCCGAAGCCGTCATGTCCAAGGGCGCCAAAAGCATTTTGACTAGCTTCTCAATGGCAGCTTTGTGGATGGCATTGAGATTGTCAGAGACATGCTGCTGGATATCCGGATGGGGAGAACAAGCCCAAGCAGAGACCGCAATCTCGTGACCAAGCTTTGTGCTCCTCTTCTTGTAGAAAGCCTTGACCTGCTTGCCAAATTCCGCGGTACCAGCTGATGCGTCTTCCAGATCATCGTCCGAATCCTCTTCCAGTTCGAGAGGTTTGTCTTCGTCATCGGGCTCGACCCCATCAAAGTCTCCATCATCGAGGTCGGCAAAATCAATTGCTAGATTCGTCAAGTCATTTGTTTCGATTTCCCAATCGATGTCAATGATCTCGTTCGCTGAGTACGATGCTTGGGTAAGATCGGGGACAGTGGTAACCTCATTAGCCGGTTTTGGGGCCAAATTCAAACCACAGTATTCCTGAAGATCCTCAAAGAGATTGAAACAATGATTCTCCAAATAATTGAGTCCGTTTCCGTACTTCTCCAAATGGATCTCTGTTTGGCAAGCGTAGAAGAAAAGCTTGTCCATCGCAAGAGAGTTAGTGTCACAGAGACGGAAGCAGGCGCAAGGGCAGTACATTGCCTTGTTGATCATTTGATGAACCACAAAGAAGTCCTTGCTCTTGAGGACATCAAGCATCTTCTGGGGTGGCTTGTCTCCTTTCTTGAGACGGTGGAAGTTAGGATCCACAAAAAGGGATTGGAACACTCTCTGGTGACGGGCAAGGCGAAGAAGGGTGATGAAGAATCCACCCATTCGGGTCTCCGCATAGCACACCAATCCCAACCTGTTTCCTTCGTGGTGTGTTTTCGAGTGCTTCATGAACATGGCATACATCTTGTGGTGAGTGCCACTACCGAACCACTTGTAAAGGCCACGGTAAAACTTGATGAGGAGTTTCCCCACGTCCGTCTTGGCCACGTCCGAAAAGAAGAGAGAGATAGCATGTTCCACTCCATGGAGGCACGTCATTCTGGGATACTTGTTGCAAAGGATTTTTCCCGCCAACTGAACATTGGAAGCGCCATCCATGACGACAGCATAGACGGTGCCCTTGTTGTCAGGGTCCATCGCCATGATATTCTTGTCCATCGCATCAGCAATGTACTGACCATCTTTCTTTCCGCCCTGTGCCAAGTGCGCGGTACAATCCTTGATTTCCAAGACGACGGAGTGGTTGTGGACGCCCGACCCAATAATATTCATGAGCGCCATCCTCTTGACAGTAGCACCATCGCCATAAATAGTATTCCCGAAGATTTCACTGTCCTTGAGGAGCGTACGCATTGCCTTCGAATAGTGCTTGGCATACAGGATTTTGAGGTTTGCGTTGGCACAAGTCCTCGCGGTCGGTGGCTTGTAGTTGTTGGGAACCGTCTTGGCCAGCTGCAGCGCAAGATGAAGGTTTGGATCGTCCAGTAGCTTCATAGGATAGCCACCTTCCGCAATCAAACAACACAACTGGTATCCAACTTCAAGCTTGCGTGGTCAGGCGGATTACAGTCAAATACAATTGGATACCGCTACCCTTGGTGTGCTGGACAAGCTCATCATTACGACCAGCAATCTCCTTGCGCGCGGCTCTGGCCCGATGGCCGGTGCTTTGGTCCAACATCGCATCCACGGTATCTTCCAGCTTGGCTTCAGCATTCGCGACAATCAGGTTAGTCAACTTCTTCTTTGTCTGGCACTTTTCCTTCAGCTCGTCCCAAGCCATCTTGTACACGAGCTTCTGTTCGGCAGAGTGAACTGCGGGGCAACACTTGATGTCGTGACCAGCTATCTTGGCCAAGTGGGCCTTGACCTTGGTGACGTTCCATCCGGAGAACAACTGATTGCAGTGCAAACACTTCCAAACGCGCTTGGTGCCACCCCCGCTCTTGTTTACCTCCTGCTTCTGGATGAAATCATCAGTCCAGATATCGTAGCCACCGCGGGACGAAGCATCCTGACTAGACGACCTGCTTCCTGAGCTGCCGCTGGTGGTGGTAGTGGTATCGCTGTTCCTGGTGCGAGAAGTGGGTAAGGAGCAACCACGATTGCCATGACGGGGCAGCAAGGAAACTCGCTTGGCATTTGGATTCGCATCAGGATCTTCCGCAAAGACCTCAAACTTATGCACTACCTTTTTGCCGCCACTGGAAGTCCTGCTGCTGTTGCGAGTACTGGATCTGCCACGAGCAGGGGCCTTGACAGGAACTTTATCATCTTCCTCCTCCGAAGAAGAAAGATCCTTCTTGCGAGCAGCGAAAGGAGGCGCCTTGCGAGCAGCGAAAGGCACCTTCTTGACAGCAACATTGACCTTGCGGGCAACAGCCTTCTTGCGAGCAGCTGGCTTGCGAGAAGATTCGTCTTCGTCTTCGTCTTCCTCTTCCGAAGAAGAATGTTCATCCCTAGGATGAAGCAGGGGCGGTTCTTCACCGTTGTCATCGTCTTCTCCTACACGGAAAGGAGAACTCCTGGTGGAATGGCCTGTCATGGTGAAAAGAGTCTCTGTCGGTGAAGATGGAGATGTGGTTGTTGTTGTGGATTGCGACAAAGGGCTCAAAAATCCAACGATTGGACCAAAGCAAATGAAGGGAGCGCTCATTCAATTTTGTGAGAGATGAGAGCTGCAAAACTGTGGCTTCGAAGTCGGCCGTCGGCCGTCGTTGGCCATGGTTGACGTGGTGACTTTCGTTGGATGGAAATGCGGCAACGTCGACTGGGAAATCCAATACGAAATCCAATACAGAACCAATTACAGGCCAACCAAAGCGTGTGACGTATCGAACTGACCAGCAAAGAGTGCCGGAGATGCCTATCATCATGGTCGTGTCATCGAACGAAGTGGCAGGTAAAGAAGAGCCAATGTATCATCTTGATAGGAGCGAGGAGTTGTGGATCGATCGATGGAACCGAATGAAAGCCAATGTATGTGGGCAACGAGCGAGGCCTCTTTGGTTGAGCGATACTCAAGTGACCATTTTGCACGGGTGCGTCAGACAATTCTTTTGCCAGGTGTCAGCGATTGGCATCTGGCATGAGAATTGCAAGACAAACCTGAGCAAAGTGAAATCTTCTGGAAGCCGGCTAACGATCCAACGGTAGCAATCCGGAATTCCGGAGTAATCCACCGGAATCCTAGGAATTCCTGCCGGAATCGTGCATGCCCTTAATTCCGGTGACGTTTTACGGTTACCGTAACTGTTGTTCTATAGAATTCCGGAATCGTACCGTAAGTAGCCAGTAATCCGGAATTCCGGCAGTAATTACCAACCAAGTTGTGAGTGACAATTCCGCCTTGCTGGCTAAACGCAACGACGGCGAAAGATATGTGTGATATCATCAAGATATCAACAGCCACCAGCCGCGCTGGACGTGAGACGTTGTCCTCTGTGTGGAAGAGCTTACTGATCCATTATTCCTCCACTGATACTAGCTAGCAGTATCTGATTCCCCAAACCGAGATTGAACATGGCCTCTGACCAGAACTGTCGCACCCGGAGCAATGCCCTCACCACTGGTCTCACGAGTCATGTCATGGCAGAGCAAGTGCTGGGATTTTTGGACCGTGACAGCATCCTCAGTTGCCTGGCAGTAGAGGATCTATCCAAGCATTTTGATCTAAAGAGCTACTACTGTAGTATACATGGTTCTAAACTGGAATCCCAGGTGGATCGTCGAAGAGACCTGGAAGACATGGTAGAAAGCGATGATCATCAAGGTGACGATGAGGATCAAAATAGCGGCGATGAGGATCAGAATAGCGCCAATGAAACTGAAACTGTTGCGGCTGAAGGCTATGATGAGAAAGCTGAACTCGAGGCGAACATTGGCAACGGGATCGCAGAGAAAATGGACAGCAAAAATGCTACGTCCAGTGTAGTCCACATTGAGTGCGCAGATTGTGTTGAGGCCGAATTTGATCGTGAACGCTGCATTCCTTGTGAGCAATTTGAAAACATGGAGGAATTGAATCAATGCAATGAGTGTCAGCATAAGGAGTGTGAGTTATGCTGCTGTTTGAGCTATATGGAGTCTTGCAATGCCTGCCAAGAGATGTACTGCGGAAGAAAAGGCTGTAAAAAAGTCGAATTTTGCCATTGTGGACTTGGTGTCTGTTCTGGCTGCCAAGAAGATTACCTGGTGTGCTTCAATTGTGACAGCAATGGGTGCACTGAATGTTTCTATGAGAATGGGTTCCATTGTGCAGAATGTGACACAACATTCTGTCTCGATTGCCAAGAATGTGGCTTTTGTGAGCTTTGTTATACACGTTTCTGCATATCTTGTAAGGGGCCCTGGAGCTGCAATACATGTGGAAATGGGTTTTGCAAAGATTGCTGTGAACAGGCTAAGTGTGACGAATGTGGCCAGCTGCATGGTTGCGATGACTGCTGCGTCCAGACCAGCTTTTCCTGCGGACGTTGCACCAACAGATATTGCCTCGAGCAATGCAAGGATTCTCTTTATTGTGACCTGTGCAAGGATGATGTCTGTATCTCCTGTGATAAGGGCTCCTTTTGCTCTGCCTGTCAAGAATACCATTGTTCTTCGCACGGAGAGTACTTTTGCTGCCAAGATTGTGGTAAGGGATCTCATGGAGAGAAGTTCCAGTGCGCAGAATGCGAGACAGTGAGCTGCTGCAGCAAAATCTATGCTTGCACAAAGTGTTCCAAGGAAATCTGTGCTGATTGCCATAATGTTTTTGAGATAATATGTTGTCGCCAGGGAACCTGCGAGTTCACTTTGAAGAAGCAGCCCAACAGCGTGACAGGTTTTATGTTTCAGTGGCCCCCATGATTCATGCGGAGGAAAGGCAGCTAACTTGAGGGTGGTTGGATACACGTACTGAATGCTATGTGATACCTGAGTCAAGCGGCACTGTTTAGCCGACTCCCCTGGACCTACTATGGTTGAAGTACTAGCTAGTTAAAGGATCTCTCTTACTTCTACTAATACATGTACATCGTATGATTCTTAACTCCTGCTGTCATCTTGTTTTCATGGTTGTTTCCGTTGAAATCTCCAAGTGACATGTGCCTTTTCTCGGGTTGTATCATCGGGATGAAAGGTGGATTCGCACACGAGTACTTTTCGTGGCGGTTCTGTTGTGTCCTTGTTGGGTGCTGTTTCCAAATATCGTAGACTTTCAAAGGAACCACCACCGTAGTTGGAAACCCCCCGCAACCAGGATCGATGCTTGGTGCCAGCGTCTTCCCACCATGATTCCGCCTGTACTTGTTCATTGTCGGCCGTGGTAATAATGTAGGATTCTTCCGTGTCGCCCGTCGAGGAGAGTGTTCGTTCCCATACACCACGGACATTTCGTCCTCGGATAAAGAGATTGCGTCCTCCGTCCTTTTGAATGGTTTCTTCCGTGGTCAATCCCACAATGGACAATGCGACGGATCGCACAAATGCCGGTTGATCTAACAGTCGTAGATAGTCGTCGTACTCTCTTTTGAATTCGTCCGTGATGAGGAGTTCCCAATCTCCCGTCAAATCGACGGAAGGAGCGGCTGTAGCCCATTTTTTAATATTGTCGTTATTGTCATCAGAAGCGCTGGTTTCAGCAGCTGTTTCAGCAGTGGTGTCGGCATCAGATGTTTCTGTTTCGGTCTCCTCTTCCAGAGCCTCACTGCTGCTGCTGGTAGCAGAAAAACCATTGACTTGATCCACCGGTTCTGTCACCTCCAATGTAGATTCTGTCACCTCCAATGTAGATTCTGTCTCAGCTTCCTCGTGGGTTTCCGTCCCATCCGAAATACTGATCTCTACTACAGAACTGGCTGTGGTATCTTCTTCTGCTGTTTGCAGAGATATTGGGATTGCCTTGGAATCTCCTTCTCTTTCTCCATTGACCAATTCTGTTGCTGCAGTTGTCGATTGTTGTTGCTGCTGTTCTGCTTTTGCTGCCCGTCTTTTGGCCAGTAATTTTTGGATGCGTCGATAGGGAAAGGTGACAATCCGTCTTATGCGGCTTCTCTTTTTCGTGGGCTGTTCTTCTTCCATCGCATCATCATTTTCTTGTTGGGAGGATAATTTCAGCCATGTTGGTGGATTATTGTTACTACATCCTCGGATAGTGCTGGGGGTTGCATGGCCACAGAATCTACTACACCAATTCCCGTTGCTCTTGTTCCGGTATGGAACCACCACAAAGGCAGAGACTGTGTTGACTTGGCTGCAACCAAGGAGCAAGCAGAACAACCAAGCCAAGCTAATACGCTGCTTCATGACTTCTTGGTTTCATATATTATTATTTGTCTACTGTCCCAGAACTAGCTAGCTAGAGCTAGTATTTGACAGATTGAAGATTCGAAGTGTCTTGTTTTGTTACTTGTTGAATTGTTGGATTGGTGACAGATTTGTGGCAGCATCATCATCTTGCTTGAATGACGGATCTTTGTGGAGGCATCAGGCTTTAGAATAGTAGTTGAGGTAAATCAAGTGTTTAAGCTTTACCGCATCTACCTCCATTCCAAACCTCAGACCTACAGTAAGCAAAGGGATAAGTCGTTACTATCATAATCTGTCCGGTGATATCCTCGTAGAGCTGGTACATTTTCTACGTGACAGTTATTTTGCCGGATGAGACTTGCGTGATAAAGTAAGGGAATTCGCATTTTACATCATGTGTTTCAACGGTTATGAATGTTCTTCCCGGAGTTAACGGGAAAGCAGTCGTGAGTTTCATCTCACTGCTTATTTCATAGTAAAATTTGCACGACTCCTTGATTTTCGAAGATGCGTTCTTTTCCATGTGCTGTAATCAATAATACGTGTCCAAGGGTGACGTGTACACAGTAAAATAGTACAAAATAAAATCGCACATCTTTGGAAATCCCTTTAAGAAAAGAAGTATCACCGGTAATAAGAATCTTCAATATTGGCCGAAACTTCTTTGCTGTTTCAACGTACAATCAGCGACCATGTGAGAACCGCTACGCTCTTGTGATTGAATTTTCGAAAAATGTGTATCAAGGTGGGATTCAACGAAAATAAACCGTATCTTTTAGAAACAAAGGGTTTTTTCCCTATTCTGAAATTTTTCAATGACTATTTGTGGTAATGAGATTATGGCAATTTGTAATTGTTTCTATTATTTCGGGTTGTTATCTAACGTATGCCAAAGAGACAACCAACAGTCGGAACCACTCCGATGTAAAAATCAAGAGGTCAAGTTCCTTTTTGCCAGTCAGATCTTCAGTTCTATCGTCAGAAAATCGACAACCACAAAATCGAAAGCAAACTATGCCCTTTTCTCTGTAAAAAAGCCCCACAATGTCGCCACGGAACACGAAAAAGAGACCACCATGACGTTTCTGCCGTTCTTACCGCCGTTCAACCATCGTGAACGTTTATCCAAGATTGCCTCCATTTTGATTATCAGCCGGTACCAAATTCCCATTTGCATCCCGGACGCACAGCACCTGCTGTGGTTTTGGCTGCTGTGGCAAGATTTGTTGTTGTTGCTGCATCTGCATCTGTGGGACAATGATCTGTGGACCGATTTGATTCGCATATTGCTGCTGAAGAAATGTCTGACTAAAACTCATTCCCATCATGGCCGGATTGAATCCCATCATGGGGTATTGCATCATCATTGGCATTTGTGGTTGCATCATCTGCATTTGTGGTTGCATCATCGGCATCTGTTGTGGAACCGCCATCGCCATCTGTTGTTGTGGGACCGCCATTGGCATTTGTGGTTGCATCTGTGGGACCGCCATCATCTGTCCACTTGCGAAACTTCCTTGACTCCCAGCAACACTCGCCGACCCACCACCAAACGCCAATCCAGCAACACTTGCCGATCCAACACCCAACGTTGATCCAGCAACACTCGCCGGTCCAGCACCAACATTCGGAACTGCGGCAACCGATCCAGCGACATCTCGTCGAGCCAGCTCCGCCAAAAGCTCATCTCGCGACATCTTGCTGTGGTCCTTGCTCCCTTCGGTCAACTGGGAGTTCGCATCTTCCTCTTCTTCTTGAGTGGAAACTATCTCCGGAATTTCTGCCACCGCCGTCTTGGGCTTCTTCTTCTTCTTTCCTTTGGCGGGAGTCTTGGTTCCTCGCTTTTTGGCAGCGGGTTTCTTTGATCCCTCGTCATCGTCGTCTTGAGCGGCGATCGCATCATCAGTTCCACGCAAGGCCTGGTGAGCTTTGAACAGACCATCACTTGTCAAGCGAGCATAAGGAAGTTGACTCTTTTCGCACTTGTGTCGTGCCATCTTCAATCGAGTCTTGAGATCGACGCGAGCTGCGTGGAGTTTTGTGATTCCGTACGCTCGCCAACCATGATTGGAAATGTCTTCCCAATTCGTCAAGCCACACATCTTTGCTAATTCTTTGGTGAACCCATTCAGCTTGTGGTAGCCAAGATTTTTGGGAGTGTCTCCATGCTTGGCTGGACAAAACCAAACATCACGTTTTGCCAGTGTGGTGTATTCCTTTCGCTGTTTGGCGGTGGCAATCTTGGCGAAGAACTTGACGGCTTCTGGATGACACTTTCCCTTGAAGAAACGGATGACCTTGACCGGACAGAGTTCATCATGCGGATTCTCCATACACTCAATGCAGCGATCATCTTTGTTCAACGCCGATGGATTCACGAGATTGAGTCGGTTGGTCTTGTCTTCCGGGAGAACGAATGCTTCATACTCATTGCCGGCAAGCTCTCCAAATCTTCGATCGTAGACACCCCCATATGTCTCTTCGTGTAAAAGATTCGCCATCTCCTTGCCTCCACGGAAAAGGAAGAACCGACCAAGCACATAGAGCAAGACGTACAGAAGATGCTGCGGATTCGTCCAGGGTTGGAGTCTTCCGTCACGAATCGCTTCACGAATCTTCGCATCCGCATCCCAGTCAATCGCGGATTTGTAATTCTTGACTCCGAACTTGGGATCGCTCTTCCGAATCATGTACCACTTCGTGATCATGAAGCCGTGGAACTGTCCCTTTTCATTGAAATCTTCTTTGTACTTGTATTGGATGCCGCGAGCTTTGAAGAAATGGAACAAGACTTGGATGTACTGATCGAAGACTGTTGGTGCCAACGGTTTGCCCTTGTTTTTTCCACTCTTACAAAGCCATTTCATTCCACACAAGACGAGACAATGATTGAGAATGGTGTGCTTGTCGATGTTCTTGTCTCCACTCACAATATTGAAGAAGG